GGTCTGGATGTTTGTCCTTGTGAAAGTTTCGTATGTAAACTGCCTCCACGATACAGGAGAAAATCTTAGTGTGGGTGTAATTTAAAAAAAAAAACAAAAAGATATTATGTTCGGAAAAAGTATACACACATGGATCGTGATTGCATCATACTCGTTTCATGTTATATCTACGCTCAGATACCGATATGAAATTGCGTGGATATAGAAACATTTTTAAAAGTTCAGAAGAAATACGAGCTATTGGTAAAACTAACCAGAGTGAAATTTGTATGCCATATGTTTTTAACTAAAAATTATTAAGGAATGCCATGTATTTATGGTATATTATGAGGTGGTCTTACTTGTACGTCATTATTTAAGTCTTTACAAAAATCTTAAGGATGGTGAATTGAGCCATCCCAACAATAAGGCCGCTTTGTATAAGCAAAGCGTTTTCTGCATGGATCCTCGCCTGTATAATTTATATTGCCAGAGCTGCCACGCTTGGCAAGCGGTTTGGCGACCGCCGTATTTTATTTTTAGTTGTTATCAGGAAGTCGCTGCTGCCCATCTCCTGATTTGTTTCCCGCTGTCGCCTCTTACGACACCCACGGGATTATATGTGGTAGTGGATATACTTACGCTGCCATTACGCGTTATAAGGTAAGAAGCTGGGTGAGGCAAGTAAGGCGCATGCCCCGGGGGCCTAAACCACTATAAATAAATTCATATCAAACAATCCCGTCCGCGATTCCCGCGCTTTACGAATTAGTGAAAGGTTATTATGAGTAGTGCACGCAGGCAGTGCATCATCATTTATCACTTTCGGTTTAAAAATTAGATTGAGCTTCGTTTCTTCTTCGTTCTTCCTATTGGTGTTTAGCGGCTCAATGGATTTTGTAAATTGAAAGCGTAGTTAAATTAATTTAACCAATTTAGCTACATGGATATTAAGTTCAATTGACAATATTAAAATGAAGTATGTTGTTACGGAATATTTCTATGTAAATGAATCTAACCCGTTTAGCTACAGGAATATTAAGTTAAATTGACAATATTAAAAATGAAGTATGTTTTTACGGAAAATTTCAATGTAAATTAATTTAACCCATTTAGCTACAACCGACAACCGATGGGAAGAAAGGTTCTCGAATGGGAGCCTCGTACCGGTAGGCGAAGTGTAGGGCGACCCCCCACTAGATGGAGTGACGACCTGGTGAGACATGCAGGAAGTCAATGGATGCAGGTGGCTCAGGACCGTGCTTTGTGGCATTCCTTGGGGTAGGCATATGTTCAGAAGTGGACTAATGACTAATGAAGGGCTGTAATGATGATGATGATGAATTTATATTTATATTTTTTTATAGAATAAAGGTAAGTGGATGCTCTGGCTCATAGACATCTACAACTATTCTCAATTATGAATTACAATGCAGATACGGTGTCATCCCTGAGAACTAGATGGAATGCCTCGTTTCCAGTAAAAACGGACTCCGATCCTCTATACACTCACCATACGAAACACAGTAGCAATAAGCTATTTTACCATGTAGGAGCGTAATCCTACCCTGGTCGAGCCGAACCATTGCACAACAGCCTTAACAGATAATGGACTAAGCATTTTAATTTTATACTAGCTGTTGCCCACGACTTCATCCGCGTAGTTATAAAAATATGAAGTACTATGAAATTTAGTGATGTTTAACGCAATCTATTTTTATATTTCAGTCAACAGAAAATGTCTATCACACTTAGCAACTTTTTTTATGTAAAAGGGGACAAACAAGCATGCGTATCACCTGATGGTAAGTGACTACCGCCGCCCATGAATAACCGCAACACCAGGAAAATTGCAGATGCGTTGCCGGCCTTTTAGAAAGGTGTAAGCTCTTTTCTTGACGGTCCCGAAGTCATATCGGTCCGGAAAAATCGCCGGTGGTAAACAATACCACAGAGAAGTTGTAAGTGGAAGAAAGTTCCTAATAAAACGCACAGAGGTGGACCGCCAAGCATCCAGATGGTGAGGATGGTGTCCTAAATTATGACGCGATGTGCGTTCGTGAAATTTGGCGGCTGGAATTAATCCGAACAATTCTTCAGAGTACTCCCCGTAGTAAATATAATAGAAAATGCAAAGGGATGCAACATCCCTACGCAACGCCAGTGAATCGAACCGATCATAAAGAACTCGATCGTCGACGATTCGAACCGCTCTGCACTGAATGCAGTCAAGTGGAAGGAGCTGGCATAGGGGGTGCCCCTGCCCAAGGATGAGAACAAACCTCCACCTCCCATGGCCCCTTACGCCCGCCCGTTCGGCCCGTATAACCGTAAGGGCGAATCTCGAGATATGCACGCGGTACTTGCTCAGAGCTCTTTCCCACTTGCACTTTCTTGACTCTCTACAAATTATTTATTCTGTTCCTTGTCCCATTTTACCACTCTCCCTTTCTGGGCTGGACGAACACTGCACACCTTCGGTTCCGGGCATGTTTTGTATCCTCTCCAGCTGCTCCATCGCCGTTCTTCGCGCATGGCATCCATGCACAAACTCCCACAGCCGGCCAAAGCTGTCCTTACCATCCACGAGGTCCGGGTTATAATCCGCACCCATCCTTCTGCGTACTATTCCGTCCATCATCTTACATCTGAGGTCATCATACAACGCGCACTCCCATAGTACGTGATCCTCATAAGCAGCACCTCAAACACACATACCAGATTCAATCAATTTCATTACATAGATTCTCTTTCGAAAACATCCATGCCCACTAAGTATCTGTGAGACTTGTTAATCCGGCACGACCGCGCCGACACGTCCGGGAAGAAACAGAATAACTCTCTTCCATTCGTCTCATTCTTCCATATTTCTTGCCATCCAACCAAATCTCGCGCTTGCGCTTGCTCAACTCCCCATTTCTCACTTCTGCACGGGCAAGATCAATCCTACCAGCACGGAAGGACGGCGGATAACACCGGAGTGCCGCAGTACCGATCGTCCTGTAACTCTTAGTCACCTCTTTGGGTGACTAAATAATGACGAATAACTAAATAGTGAGGCCCTCTGTGATCTGAGCAGTGACGTACGCCTATAATTTCCTACCCGATTAACCCAGATTCAAAGTCAGAGTCAAATACTTTATTTGCAGAATAAAATGTTTAGGTGATACGGGTATTTAGTAATAGAGTAAGTCTAAATAATATTCTACCGGGAGTTGTACCGGTGAGCAAATATATCTTAAAATAATCAAATTAAATTGTACATAATGTCAACATCTTGAATAACCGCTTAGCGGTTAGCCACCGTAGAGTCTATATCACCTGAGGATGCCTCGTGTAGAGGCGAAACACGTGTCGTATTATCGTCAGTGGTGTGTCTTACCTAGTGTAGTGGTGTTTGGAGTAGCGGTGCTGGGATTAGTGGTGACGGGGATAGTGCACGCAATTCAGGGAGGGCGGGAGGTGCTTCTTCATACTTTTTTTTACTAGGTAAGACACATCATTTTATTTTATAACGCGGATATTTGCGAAGTAAATTTTTGTAAAAGCTTTTATATAATGGATTTCCGCAAAGTAACGCCTGATTCTATTAATTATAGTATTGTAATCAATTAAAATATTCCTTAACACTATAGTAACACTTGTCAAGAAACCCAATTTAAATTTTTTAGTCACAATTTTAAATTTATTCAAGGGCAAGTCTTTTAAGTTATTGGGATACCATAGAAGACTCATCCCAGACTATTAATTTTGCTTTTTTTAGCAGTTCTGCGAAGTCCCTCTGTTTTGGTATATTAGTCTGAGAGCTTGCGACGAATTTTGGGAAGGTCCTTTGGGCAAGTTGAAATTGTGAAAAAATATAATTTCGTCAATTGGTGAATCCAGTCCTGCGAGTCTGGCAGAGCGTTTGCGGTTATTTCGTTACTGCGCAGTGCGCAGTATATAACATTTGCAAAAAAAAATCCAAAAAATGTTTTTATGGCAACTTGATTTCTTTTTTATCTTTTAATTTAGTTTTTATATAATTCCAAAAAAATAATCCCAGACGTTTTTGTCGCTTATAAAGTAATACCAGACCTCTCCAAAAATATTTTTATTTATTCTCAAAAAATATACTTTTGGCAATCTCAAATTTTAATCACGTATTTATTAAGTAATTTTTATCGTTTTTGCGATCCCAAAAAGTGTCGTATTGCAGGGACGTATAGCGTTCGGGATGTAGCTATTAAATACTCGAGCTTTTTCTGTACCTTTTCCGAACTCGTGCGTTCTCCTTCCCAACTGTCAAAATGTCTATTAAAAAGAAAAAACCAACCACGAAGTTTTCTAAAAAAAATCATAGAAGTTTTATGATTCATGCAAATATTTCTAAAAAGAAGCTACTAATTTGATGATTTGATTCAATGAGTTAGGTTTGGTTTCATTACATCTCATTAAATTTCATTTTCCCATAGGAATGTATCCCTTAAACCGGCCCTGTCGTAAAATTTGTTCCTACCTGACATGTCTTAACTATATTATATCTCTCTACCAATTTGCGGGTACAAAAAGCCAAGGATTTCATATAAATTTGAGAGAGTCCTTAGTCCAGGTGTTCATAAAATTCTTTATTAGCTAATATGTCCTACTCATAAACTCTATACTTGCTAAATTTCATGTCGGTAGTACAGAAAAAATTAAAACTTTCATACAAACTTACGACAGTGCTTAGACCTCTTTAATCCGTCCCAGTCGCAAAATCCGTACGTATCCGAACGTCTACTAACTATAAACTACAACCTTGCCAAATTTCAAGATTTTAAGACTAAATATGAAGGACTTTCAAACAAACTTGCGAGAGCTCTTAGATCTCCTTAATCCAGTCCTGTCGCAAAATCTGTTCTTAATGAACGTCTACTGACTATAAACTACCTCACTGCCAAATTTCATCCTTATATATCAAGCGGTTTTCGATATTTCGTGATGAGTGATTGAGTGACCTTTCACTTTTATATATTTAGATATATATGTATTTTTGACAGGTGTGTGGTGCCGGAATGTGAAGGCGCTGGGGCTTCGTTTGGAAATACTTCAGTACAGGCGCTGCTCAGCCCGGAGCCTTGTCACCGATACTCGCCGCTAACTGACGCCCCCACCTGCTTGCGCGAGGACTTCCATCTCAATCACACTGTCAAATGCGATGCCTTTATCTATGAGAACCAGAATACTATTTATGCCGAGGTGTACTATTAAGTTCTTTTTTTCTTTCACTCACCATACGAAACACAGCAGCTTAAAGCTGGTATTTTATGCTGGTATTCTGTGAGAGCGTGGTCTTTCCCGGTCGAGCTGACCCATTCGTGCCACAACCATACCACTAATATAGCTGCAGCATGGCTCCACGTAAAAATTAACTTCTACTGCATTACTTTATGTGTATAGAAATTAATATTTGCTTAATAACTTTTGGCTTCTTATTCGCTTTAATTGTTTTCATGACTGCCTCGTTGGTCTAGTGGCCGTAACAGCGATTGCTGATCACGAGGTCTCCAGTTCCAATCTCAGTTACTGGGTTCTTCTGTTAAGAACTTTTCAGTAGCAGCCCGGAGTCAACCAGGAAGTTGATGGTGTCTCACCCCCGTGCTTCGGATAGCAGGTAAAGCCGTAGGTCTTGCCCCTGATCTCACATCGGTCGTGTCGGGTTACCGTCTCATGGGACTATGAGAGAAAATATGCTGTCAGTCTACTGCAGTCCATTGACATGCAACTATCAAAGAACCAACAAACCAGCAAAGAACGCCACAATTGCCTTGTCACCTACGATCCATGTTTGAGATAGAATTCCACACAGAATTTAAATATAATGGCAATTACACTTTTAAAATCGGAATAACTAAAGCAGTGGCTACACTGCTGCTTGACCGCAGAAATAGGTAAGAGCACGGTACCAGCCCAAACGGACTCCTAAGTGTCCAAGGAACATTGCCACATAGAACCATGCTTACGTTTTTAAGACGAAAGGTCTTCCTCTGCGTCAAAGACGTTCTAATAATTGAAAATTATGATAATGATGCTTCTTATTGCTTGGTTTTAAAATTATAGTACAGTGTTTTATTCGTATAGTTGAACATTTCGTCAATGTGCATTAGGTCAAGATGCAGGTCAAGCGGATTAGGTTTATATTTTCCACCGACTTCAAAAAGGAAACGGTACTCAATACGACTGTATGTTTTTATAGGACCCCTCTCCTACAACGTCCTCAAACGAGCATGCGGCTCACCTGATGGTAAGAGACTACCGCCGCCCATGAACAACTGCAACACCAGGGGAACCAGGAGAATTACAGATGCGTTGCCGGCCTTTTAAAATGGAGTAAGCTCTTTTCTTGAAGGTCCCTAAGTCGTATCGGTCCGGAAAAATCGCTGATGGTAATCGATTCCACAAGGAAGTCATGTGAGGAAGAAAACATCTTCAAAATAGCACAGTGGTGGACCGCCAATCATCCAGATGGTGTGGATGGTATCTGGAGTTCTGCCACGATGTGCGTTCGTGAAATTTGGCGGCTGGGATTCATCCGAACAATTCCTCAGAGCACTCCCCGTGGTAAATGCGAAAGAAAATGCAAATGGATGCAACATCTCTTCGCAGTGTCAATGAATCGAGCCGATCGGAAAGGACTCGGTCGTCGACGATTCGAGCAGCTCTGCGCTGGATGCGTTCAAGTGGAAGGATCTGGCACTGGGGAGCCCCTGCCCAGAGATGGGAACAATATTCCATGTGAGGCCGAACCTGCACCTTGTAAAGTTGCAGGCGGTGTAACGGCATGAAATACTATCCCGCTCTGCTGAGCATGCCTAGCTTTTTAGAGGCCAATTTGGCCTTCTCTTTCAAGTGACCACGAAACTGCACGTCACTCGATATGTCGACTCCGAGGATTCCGATACTGGCTGAGGCAAGAAGGGGAGTGCCTTAAAACTGAGGAGATACGACAAAGGGGTTCTTTTTAGCGGTAAACGCGTAAACTTGTGTCTTCCTAGGATTAAACTGGACTAGATTTAGTCGCCCCCAATCCGAGACTTTGTTCAGCAAAGACTCGACTTCAGACACAAGTTTATTCCGGTACTCGGCGACGTTTTCCCGAGAAATTTTGGCACGGCCGGTGTATAGAGCATCACCAGTGCTGTCATCCGCACAGCAATGAATGTTACCAGTTAGCAACATATCATTGATATGCAGAAGAAACAGCGTTGGTGATAGCACACAGCCTTGTGAAACACCAGCGTTAATAGGCTTGTAGTCGGAGCTTGTTGTACAACGACCTTGATGCTCCGATCTGCAAGGAAGCTGGTGATCCAATTGCACAATTTCTCGGAAAGCCCATAGGAAGGGAGCTTCGAAAAAAGCGCTTTGTGCCAAACCCGATCGAAGGCCTTCGCTATGTCCAAACTAACGGCCAACGCCTCCCCCTTGGACTCTACTGCCTCCGTCCATCTATGGATCAGGTAGACCAGAAGATCACCAGCTGATCGACCCCGACAAAAACCGTATTGGCGGTCACTAATCAGCTGGTGATCCTCAAGGTACCGCATGAGCCGGCAGTTAATAATGGATTCCATTATTTTGGAGAAGATGGAGGTGATGGCGATAGTCCTGCAGTTGGACGGGTCTGAGCGGTCGCCTTTTTTAGGGATCGGGTGGATAAAAGCTGTCTTCCATTAATTCGGGACTACGCCTTGGGAGTAGGAGTACCGGAAAAGACGCATTAAAACCGGTGCCAAATCCGGAGCACACGTCCTCAGCACAATTGGGGGGATTCCGTCAGGCCCACTCGATTTCTGGATGTCCAGGGAGAGGAGTGCTTTGAGAACCGAGCGCTGTAAGAACAGCACATCTGGCATGGAGCACTCACGCCGCGGGATGGTCGGCGGTGTTTTCCCCCCGTCATCAAGAGTCGAGTTGGACGCAAAAAGGGAGCCTAAAAGGTCGGTTTTGTCTTTTGCGGCTTGGACCAGTGAGTCGTCCTCCCCGTGCAGAGATGGTAGTGATGGCTTACAGAAATTCCCTTTGGACAGCCTTGGCGAGAGACTAGAATGTACGGGTTCCCGAAGGAAGGCAAACTAGTTTCTCGCCAATTCTGCCTATGTGCTCTGACTTTGCCTTGGCAATAACTCTTTTGAAAGACCTGGAGGCGAAGTTATACTTCTTTTTAAGTGTGCTGGTGTTTACATCCCGAGTCGCCGAAGCCGCAGCCCAGGCTTGATAACACTCCTGCTTACTGCGTAATGCAGTCTTACAGGAGCAACCAAACCAAGGCTGAGATCTGCCTCCGATGGGTACCACAGATGATGGAATAAATAGTTCCATTCACTGTAGCACCACATCAGTGACAGAGTCAGCAACAGCGCTGGGATCATCCGGCGAGAAGCAAACCCCCTGGGTAGGATGCAAAGAAAGACCGCATTCCGTCCCAATCCGCCAACCTGTAATGCCAAACACGGCGGCAACATGCAGAACGCAACCGCGAGGGGAGCGTGAGTGGCACCACACTCTGGATTAGACAATGGTCCGAAGAGCCGAGAGGGGCATCGACGGAAACCTGATATCTGTCCGGATGAGAGGTCAGCAGAAGGTCCAACAGGGAAGGTGTATGATCCCCCACATCTGGAATCCGCGTAGGCGAAGTAATCAGTTGTGTCAGACCATATGCCAAGGCAAAAGTCATAAACAGATCTCCCCGCATGATCGGTTAAACGTGAACTGAGCCATTCGGCGTAGTGGGCGTTAAAATCGCCAAGGATCACGATCTCTGCGGATGGGACCTGTTGTAGCAAGGAATCTGTAGCCATTTGGACGTGGTCGATGAGTTGGTCTGTTTCGGCATTACCACTAGGGACCTACAGCGGCACCCGTAGACGCGCGGATTGTTGTCGCTGTATACGCGTAGCCAAAGGATGGACAGGTCCGAACCTTCAAAACTGCCGAGGCGTCGAGAACAGATGTCCTCTCTGACATACATACATTTATGTGTGTTACTTCATAACTTTTTAGTAGATGAACCGATTTCGATGATTCTTTTTTTATTTGAAAGCTGGTACTTCACCTGTAGTCGTATATGAATTTTATCAAGGTCAAACCAATAGTTTTTGAGTTATTCTTAATAATTTATATTAAAGTCGGCTGTACAAATTTATAAATTTAATTTAATATATAAATTCTGCTGTGATTTATTTTTTTTATACGATAAGGGTGACAAACAAGCACACAGTCCACCTGATGGTAAGTGGTTGCTGCGGCCCATAGACATCTACATCTATCCTCTATTACAAATCAAAATGTAGATGCGTTGTCACCCGTGAGGACTAAGATGGAATGACTCATTTCCAGTAAAAAAGGCCTCCGGCCACCTGCACTCACCAAGCGAAACGCAGAGGTAAACCTCTACTTCACGCTGGTTTTCTGTGAGGTCGTGGAACAACCCCGGTTCGAGCCGGCCCATCCGTACGAAAGCAAAAGCTGCCGCGTGGCTCTACCACTGTTGATTATTTCTGCGTCTCATCAGTGATAAAATCCTATAACTTTGTTAAAAAAATAAAAAATGGTCCTTCGAGCTGGATTCTATCTAAGACTCCTTCTGAGTACACTGTAAATACTGGTATAAATCATACATGTCATAAATATTCCACCTTAGTCTTCAGAAGTGACCACGCATCTGTAGTCTTAGGTGCTTGAAGTTAGTTGCAGGTATCCATGGACTGCTGTAGCCACTTACTGTCAAGTGAACTGTAAGTCCATTAGCACCTCCAATTTTATATAAACAAAAGTTTCGGGTATAGAATAGGTAACCATTAAATGCCATGAAGCATTTCGTCTTAGTCCTCAGACGTGACTACGCATATGGAGTGTGCCTTTTTTGTGTGAAGTGGGTGCAGTATGAATGGGCTGCAACAGCCACTTACCACCAATTGAACCTTTTATCTATACAAATAAATAAAGTTGGTGTGTCTGTTTGTAATGTCAAAATTACAGTTTTTTACTAAATGCATATGAAAATAAATACGGTACTTATAACTAAAATACAGTTTTTAAAATTTTTGTTATATGTTATATATCTGTTTGTTCCGGCTAATTTCCGAAACGGCTAGACCGATTTTGACGGTACTTTCACTGGCAGATAGCTGATTTTATAAGGAGTAACTTAGGCTACTTTTCTTTTAAAAAAGTATTAGGGTTCCACGTGAAAACGTAAAAACCCTAACACGCGAGTGTAGTCGCGGGGAACAGCTAGTATTGAATAAGAGTGAAAAACGAGCTCACAATCCATCTGAATATCTGCCCATAGACATCTGTATTTATCTTCCATTAAAAATCAAAATGCAGATGCGTTTTCACAAATGGGGCTTAGATAAAGTAACTCATATCCAGAAAAAAAAGCTTCCTTTTGTAAGTTCCTTTGTTTTTCCAATTTTATATAAACAAAAAGAGTTAGTACCTAGTTGTTTGAGCAAGTGCGTTTGTCTCAGTTCGGGCTGGCGTGCCGCGAGTGGCTGCGCACGCTGGTGGGCTCGGTGCGCAACGCTGCCCTCCCACTCGCGCTGCTGCTCACTGGATACATCTCCGATAGGTAACACCTATTTTTTCTGTTGCGGCTCTACCCATAACTCTCACCACTCTATCATAGGTTAGCTGGCACAAAATGCGTTTTCGGCATTAGTTTCGCCTTTGTAGCAAATCGTTTAGTACATTTGACTGCAATAAAGAATTTTCTATCAAACTACCTTAGCGTCAATGAACACGTAAAGGAAACTTTATACCTACCGCAATTTGCAGGATTGTTCTGGTGCCAGATTCTTAGCAGAGAAAATACTCTTAAAATGTAATTTTGTTAATTATATTAATTGAATGTGTGGCGGTGCTGTCGAATTAAAGTACCGAGGCGAAACCTAAATCACGCTATTAAAGTTTCCAAAAGGCTGAATATATAGAACGAGTTCGGTACTATACCACACGTAGCGTTCGCCATTCACCAGTCTGACCACCTTGCCCAGCAGGAGATCTACTTATTTCTTTTCCCGATCAAAGGCATGGATGAGTGTTCTTGTCAAATTTGATGTGCAACTTTAAACTCCTCATCAGCGAATCGTGATAAACTATGTTTAGTGGCCGTGATACGACGCTCCAAATATGCAAGTACCCTGCAGCCCAGTTTTTGTTTATAATAATGAAACCTTATGTTTAAGCTTAACCTTATATTATGTGTATTTGTATTGTTTATCTTAAAGGATATTAAATGCAAAAGCTACCTAAATTGTTAATCTAATAATACTTGCTAACATCTTAGAACACTTTCGTCGGCTTAGTAGTGGCGTTTGGCTGTGGGGCTGTAAGGCAGCGGGTTAAAATCCCGCAACAGATATTTGTATGGTCAAACACCCAGACCCTTAATTTTTTTTTGTAGACCTACAAAAAAATTTAAGGGTCTGGGTGTATACAATTTATAAGTAAGATGCATTTATTTTTAACGTAGTAGAGCTACGCTAGAGCTATATTATGGTTGCAACACAAATCGGCTGGACTGGAGCAGGACCACGCTCTTACAGAAAACCAGCATAATACTGCTGTGTTTTTTATGGTGAGTGAAAAGAACTGGAAACCCTTTTTACTGGTAACAAGGTATCCTATCTTAGTCCTTAATGGGGACAACACATCTACATTTTGATTAATAATAGAGGATACAAATGCTTCACTGCTGGCCGTATGAGGAAGCTTAAGGTCACTCAGCGAGCTATGGAGAAGGTTTTGCTCGGAGTTTCTCTGCATGATAGACTTAGGAATAAGGATATCCGCAGTAGAACCAGAGTGACCGACATAGCCAACGGATTAGTAAGCTGAAGTGGAAATGGGCCGGCCATATAGCTCGAAGAACCGACAACCGATGGGGAAAAAAGGTTCTCGAGTGGCGGCCTCGTACCGGCGGACGAAGTGTAGGGCATCCCCCCACTAGATGGAGTGACGACCTGGTAAGATATGCAGGAAGTCGATGGATGCAGATGGCTTAGGACCATGATTTGTGGCATTCCTTGGGGGAGGCCTATGTTCAGCAGTGGACTTGTGAAGGACTGTAATGATGATGATGATGATACAAATGTAAATATCTGCCTAAGGCCAGGTTGACTATGTTCTCATTTGTCACTCTTATTCTATGAAAATACATTTTGTAAATTTATCAGTTTGTGGGCAAACCTTTTATAGTAAACAAAAAAAATAAAAAGTAGACATTATACGTTTATGTGCGTTTCTTCTAATGCCAAACACAAAATAATTTAAAATTAAGTTTGTTTATTAGTATTAGATAATATTGCACTGTTTCAGATGGGGTCGTCTCACTGCATTCTGCATATTCTCTGCTTGCGCCGGAGTCATGGGGCTCATCAAGTCCTTCTCCGTCAATTACCAAATGTACATCGCGCTGGAGTTTCTAGAAGCAGCGCTTGGATACGGGTTCGCAAGTGCTGCTTACGTCATGGGTGTGTTTTGTGTCTGTACATTATTAGTATTAGTTGATGATAGCAAAAAATTACATAACAATTTTGTCTTGTAGGTTTTGTCCTGGATTGTCGTCATGAATGTACTTCAAGAGACAGTTGACAATTGTAGCCCGACTATTATTTACCTTTACCTTTTTATATGTAAATACACCTCTCCACCTTTGAGAAATCTATGGGGGAGGTCTATGTTTAGCACTGAACTTCATAGGCTGTAAAAAATTAAAATGAATAAATGAATAAGATTGACCTATTTCAATAAGAGTAGATAAAAATATATTAAGTAATGCTAAGGACTTTCATTATTGTTTTTATTATTCTAAAAAAAATTAAAATATTTTATAATTTATAATTATTTTATCTCAATATCGTATTTTATCAAATTAAAAAAAAATTCAACGCAATAAAATTCGTAATATTTGTTTAATTTCATGTAGGCAGAATAACAAAAACTACGAGTTATTAGCTATATTTAATTGTACTTAACTATAATGGCGTAAATATAAAAAATCATTATTCTGCCGACATTTTACAACGGCATAACTATAAATATAATGTAATATGAGCATACTTTGTTTAAAGAACTCGTGAATATTTACTTAACTATTAGTGATGGCAATATTTTATCGTGGTAGAACCACTCTGCAGCTATATTATGATTGTAACACGGATGGGTCGGCTCGACCGGGGTAGGACCATGCTCTTACAGAATACCAGTGTGAAACAGGTTGAGCAAAATGTCGCGCTAGTCGTTATTTGTGCGGTTTTTAGGAGCTATCTACTTATTTTTAAAAGATATATCAACAAATAAAAAACACATTATATCTCTACATAATCTTGATTCCATAAGAGCTATATCCAATTTTTTTTAAAGGAATAAATATTAATATAATCTCCTTACAACGAAACCAAATAAATGTGAAATAATTATTGATAACATGCATCTCCTCGTAAAGAAAGTATTTTTTTTTGCGCTTTACACCAATGGATAGGCAATTTATTAATGAACATTTCTATTATAATTTTTTTGCAAAAGACCAAAATTTGATTTTATTAAGAAATTATTTTAAAATCTGGACGTATTCACTGCCCACGGGCTTGCTGGAGTCAGTGAGCGCTGAGCTCTTGAACGTCAAACCCGTGTCGTTAGTCAGAGCGTCGGCCAGCGCACACGCTTACGTCATTTTATCAGTCGATAATATTATAATATTATTAATTATTAGGTTATTTATAGGTAATATTATTTGTTTGTTTTTGCTTATAATTTTTCGTATCAGTTATACATATATTTGTTGTGTTTTTTACTGCGCGATGAAGCTTTTTGCGTGTATTTTCTTTGAAGTAAATGCAAATATAAAAATTAAGCACCATTAGCATCTAAGGTTTGGTTTGAATTGGGCGTTTGATTTGGTCTATGGTCGTCTAATAAGGCCCGGTCGGGTAAGTCGGCCTAAAGGCGACTAATTCAGCCTGGGCGTCTAAGTTGACCTATCTGCGGCATTGCGGGTTATTACTCGAATCTCTAACTAAACTGACCGTTTATTTTTTTAACTCAAAACGGGACATGGGTTTATTTATACTCTAAAAACTATAACTTTATACAATTAGTGTTCACTATAAAATTATATTCGGTTTATAGACGGTATTTATTAAATGCAACATATTTTTTTTTTTAGTTATTAATTACATTTGTCAGTGGATTAAATTTGCTTTAATAAAGTTGGTGATGATTTTAAATAAGAATAAAATTCTGGGCAAGTTATTTTTTAATGTTACCTTTGTTAACAACATCGCCTTTAGAACTGGAACCGTAAGTGTTTTTTTCAGACGTCCACAACTTATTCAAAATAGAAAAATACTCTTTCTACTGGAGCATTTGTACCAGGTAGACATAAAATATATTCGATTAAAAAATTATGTTGAAGATTGTTGGCTTTGAATACTTCCATCCAACGAGTTACGGGACAATTTTGTGTCATGGAGCTTTGTTTGGGGACAATGGGACAGGTGACCGAGAAAATGGACAGTCTCGTTCAAAACGGGACGTATGGTCACTTTACCTATAACCCGGCGACGGCTCCGTGGCGCAGTGGCTTAGCAATGAGTTGTTGCACTGGGGGCCGCGGGTTCGAATCCCGCACGTAACAAGTATTTGTATGGCCTACAAATAATTGTTCCGGGTCTGGATGTTTGTCCTTGTGTAATTTGTGTTTGTAAACTGCCTCCACGACTCTCATTCTATATTACTCTCACTCTGCGAAACATCCTATTTATTTATTTATTCTTTATTGCACCAAATATTTGTACAAAAGACGAGCTATCTATCTATTTACCTATAGTGAGTAGGTATCTTTTAAACTCACAATTTTCAATGCTTCATTTTTAATATATAATTAATTATAAAATTTCATAATTAGATAATATATGAGAATACATAATTCTAATATAATGCGACTAATATACCGAATAAAAAATTAAAATACATTTATCGTTTTACGCTTTGTGTATTTCCATAAAATAGTTTATAGATGTTGAAAAAATACATATACTACGTTCGTACAGTAGGTGGCGTCTTACATATTTCTTAAACGATATATTGTAGCGAGTCGGCGCGGCACACCAAATGCTCAAGTTCGTTCGCATGGAGTAGCCCCTTAATGCTGCTGCGTTTCGTATGGTGAGTGTAGAGAAGCGGACCCCTTTTACTGAAAACAAGATATTCCATGTTAGTCCTCAGAGGTGACAACGCATCTACATTTTTTCTTAATCGAGGACACATAGCATGTACTCACCATTAGGTGGACTGCGTGCTCGCCTTGCCTCGTGTCACGCTTTAGGCTTTTTCTATAAAACAATGAATGACAGAATAAAAAGATGATAACAACACTCAAAGACCTCTATGTATACTCGTAGACCGGCAATTCTGAACAAAACCTGTGTCTCAGCTGTAAATCTACACTGTAACGACACGGTAAATACGCCACGCGAATGTATTTTCATTTACGACAGTTACGGTTTTGAGGCAAATATAAAATAAATTCACATAATCTGTAATAAACTTCAAATCACTGTGAAAAAGTGCGCACTTAAATAATGACAGCGTTTAGTTTAGTTAAACAAAATCAGTGATTATCGAAAACAATGTTGAACGTTGTTTTACAAAACGAAAAACTAGTTATTGTGCTAGTAATATGTGCTACTTACTAGAAGAGACGTCGAGACTTGGTGTTTTGCAACACGCATTAGAGTCCATGGCACTGTACCTCTGAATTTGTGCTCCACACTGCCGCGCAGATTTTTTTTATAGAAGAGGGGGCAAACGAGCATGCGGCTCACCTGATGGTAAGTGACTACCGCCGCCTATGAACAACCGCAACACCAGGAGAATTGCAGATGCGTTGCCGGCCTTTTAGAAAGGTGTAAGCTCTTTCCTTGAAGGTTCCCAAGTCGTATCGGTCCGAAAAATTCGCTGGTGGTAATTGATTCCACAAGGAAGTTGTGCAAGGGAGAAAAGTTCTTCTAAATCGCACAGTGGTGGACCGCCAATCATCCAGATGGTATGGATGGTAACGCGAGTTTTGTCGCGATGTACGATAGTGAAATTGAGCGACTGGAATTAGTCCGAACAATTCCTCAGAGCACTCCCCGTGATACATGCGATAAAATACGCAAGAGATGCAACATTTCTACACAGTGCCAGTGTATCGAGCCGATCAGAAAGAACTTGGTCGTCGACGATTCGAACCGCTCTGCGCTGGATGCGGTCAAGTGGAAGGAACTGGCACTAGGGTGCCCCGACCCAGAGATGAGAAAAGTATTCCATGTGGGCCGAACTTGCGCCTTGTAAAATTGCAAGCGATGTGCCGGCATGAAATACTGTCTCGCTCTGCTGAGCACGCCAAGCTTTTTAGAGGCCAATTTTGCCTTCCCTTCCAAGTGACCACGAAACTGCATACTATTCGATATGTCGACGCCAAGGATTCCGATACTAGCTGGGGCAACAAGGGGAGTGCCTTGAAACTGAGGACATACGACAAAGGGGTTCTTTATAGCGGTAAACGCGCAAACTTGTGTCTTCTAGGGATTGAACTGGACTAGATTTAGTCGGCCCCAATCCGAGACTTTGTTCAGCAAAGACTCGACTTCAGACACAAGTTTGTCCCGGTACTCAGCGACGTTTTCCCGAGAAATATTGGCACGGCCGGTATATAAGGCATCACCAGTGCTGTCGTCTGCATAGCAATGAATGCTACCAGTTAGCAACATATCATTGATATGCAGGAGAAACAGCGTTGGTGATAGCATGCAGCCTTGTGGAACACCAGCGTTGATAGGCTTGTAGTCGGAGCATGCACCGTCTACTACGACCTTGATGCTCCGATCAGCAAGGAAACTGTTGATCCATTTGCACAATTTCTCGGGAAGCCCATAGGAAGGAACCTTCGAAAGAAGCGCTTTGTGCCAGACCCGATCGAAGGTGTTCGCTATGTCCTAACTAACGGCCAATGCCTGCCCCTTGGACTCTACTGCCTCCGCCCATCTATGAGTCAGATAGACTAGAAGATCACCAGCTGATCGAACTCGACGAAAACCGTACTGGCGGTCACTGATCAGCTGGTGATCCTCAAGGTACCTCATGAGCTGGCAGCTTATAATGGATTCCATTATTTTGGAGAACAAGGAGGTGATGGCAATAGGCCTGTCGTCGGACGGGTCTGAGCGGTCACCTCTTTTAGGGATCGGGTGGACCAAAGCTGTCTTCCATGAATCGGGAATATGCCTTAGGAGTAGGAGTACCGGAAAAGACGCGTTAAAACCGGTGCCAACTCCGGAGCACACGTCTTCAGCACTGGGAGTGACTCCATCGGGCCCACTCGACTTGCTGACGTCCAGGGAGAAGAGTGCTTTGCGAACCGAGCGCTGTGTAAACCGCACATCTGGCATAGAGCACTCACATCGCGGGATGGTCAGCGGTATGTTCCCCCCGTCATCTAGAGTCGAGTTGAACGCAAAAAGAGAGCTCAACAGATCGGCTTTCTCCTTTGCGGCATGGGCCAATGAGTCGTCCTCTCTGTGCAGAGATGGAAGAGATGGCTGACAGAAGTTCCCTTGGACAGCCTTAGCAAGAAACCAGAATGCATGCTTTCCCGAAGGAAGGCGAACTAGCTTCTCGCCAATTCTGCCAATGTGCTCAGACCTTGCCTTGGCAATGACGCTTTTGAACGACCTGGAGGTGGAATTATACTTCTTTTTAAGTTCGCTGGTGTTTACATCCCGAGACGTTGATGCGTCGGCCCAGGCCCGGTAGCACTCCTGCTTATAGCGTGATGCTATTTTACAGGAGCGACCAAACCATGCCTGGGATCTGCCTCCGATAGGCACCACAGAGGGTGGAATAAAAAGTTCCATACCTTGAAGTACCACATCAGCAACAGAATCGGCAACAACGCTGGGATCTTCCGGCGAGAAGCAAACCCGCCCCCAAGAGTAGGATGCAAAAAAAGACCACATCCCGTCCCAATCAGCTGACCTATATATAGTGCCAAACACGGCGGCAAGCTGCAGATCGCAACTGCGATTGGAGCGTGAGTGGCACCGTACTCCGGATCAGACAATGGTCCGAAGAGCGCAGAGGGGCATCGACGGAAACCTGATATCCATCCGGATGAGAGGTCAGCAGAAGGTCCAACATGGATGGTACATGGTCTTCCACATCTGGGATCCGCGTAGGCGAAGGTAACCAGTTGTGTTAGACCATATGCCAAAGCAAAGTCATAGACAGATCTACCCGCATGATCGGTTTAACGAGAACCAAGCCATTCAGCGTGGTGGGCGTTAAAATCACCGAGTATCACGATCTCTGCGGATGGGACCTGCTGTAGCACGGAGTCTGCAGCCATTTGGACGTGGTCGATGAGTCGGTCTGTGTCGGCATTACCGCTATGGGATCTATAGAGGCACCCGTAGAAGCGGGGATGGTCGTCGCTGTCTACGCGCAGCCATAGGATGGACAGGTCCGTACCTTCAAGACTGCCGAGGCGTCGAAAACAGATGTCCTCTCTGACGTATATGCAAACTCCAGCCCGGGGCACAAAGGAGTGTTCCAATTTGTACCCCGGGTAGGAGAGATATGAAGTATCAGCCGGAGAGGACACCTGAGTCTCAGTTAAGAAGAGCAAGGCCGGCTTCGCGGTCTCTAGATGGTAATGGACAGCGTTAAGGTTGGAATGAATTACCCTGATGTTGCAAAAATTCATGGATAGCGTGACGGGGGTCGCCTTGGTTGTATTGCTCCGCTTGCCCCGAGCAGCATTAGTCGCGAGCGGAATTTTGCCCCCCCTCCCCCAGAATACGCGGGGCAGCCTGAGCACCCACGCTCAGGAGTGAAGTAGTTTGGTCGTGGATGCTCAGCGACGGATTCTCCAGGGGTGCTGGTACCCTCCTGGGGTAGTCTTTTATTTAATTCCACTACCATGTTGATGGGGGGGGGGGGATTTGGGCCTCCAGCCACCTGCACTCACCAAGCGCAACGCAGAGGTAAACCTCTACTTCACGCTGGTATTCTGTGAGGTCGTGGTACCACCCCGGTTCGAGCTGGCCCATCCGTGCGACAGCAAAAGCTACCGCTTAGCTCTACCACTGTTAAACACGCAGATTTTATTCGCGGTGTCTGTTTTAGTACGTAGTACATATTACTTCAATGGAACTAGTCTTCTCGCGCGCTCGCAATCGACTAATAGAGTTACGGAGAATTAACCGTAACTTAGTGCGCGTACTTGATGGAACGTACTGTTACAGTGGTGGAGCTAGCGCGTCCATCGCTGCGCGCGTCGTTCGCGTGCGCGACTGGCGTGGCTTATGGGGTGGGCGGAGCACTGCTAGCTCTGGCTGCGCATCGGCTCCATCGCTGGCGTCAGCTGCTGCTAGCGCTGCACACACCCGCGCTGCTGCTGCCGCTCTACTGCTTGCTGCTGGACGACAGCGTACGCTGGCTCCACGCGACCGCCAGGCAAGATGAAGCCATCGCGGTGCTACGTAAAGCCGCGAAGTGGAATAGGGTACAGTTTCACATATCATCTCTGTAAACAATGTTAGATAGACAGATCACGATCTGCTGCCGCTCTGGCCCTTCGCGACCACCAGGCAAGATGAAGCCGTCGTGGTACTGCGTAAAGTCGCAAGGTGGAATATGGTACATTTTCACTTATCATCTCTGACCAACAAACTAAGATAGACAGAACGTGTCTAACGAATAATAAGAGACGCAGAAATCATGTTCAGCCAATGAGAGCATCTATGACTTTTCCTGCCACCAGGGCGGCACAACTTTAGAACTAGGTGAAATATTTTGATAGTAAATTTGTTTGGATGTGGTGGGCTCAGGACTGTGCTTTGTGGCATTCCTTGGGGGAGGCCTATGTTCAGCAGTGGACTTGTGAAGGGCCAAAAATTTACACCTCAGTCAGTATATCAGTTGTGGACTTTTTGATAGACTGTACATAATGATTTTAATAATCTATTAGCATTTATGATGAAAAGGCCCTGTAGTGGCGGCGTCAGAGTATCCACTACCTTATGTCGGTGTTGTAAGAGTCACCAGAGGGAAACTTTACCAGAAGATGGGCAGCAGCGTCTTTTTTATAACAGCAAAATAATATTAAAAACTGTGGTTGATAAACCGCTTGCCAATCGTGGCAACTATGGCAGATATCCTGCCTATGAGGCAATCTATGGGGTGGACGTTGTTCAGCAATGGACTATTGATAGGAATCGATATCGATTAGAGTACTTGACACCAACACAAACAAATAATAATTAAAAATGTTTTTTCAGGTGACCCTAAATGAGGAAACACTAAAAGCAATTGGGGCAAGGGACAATAAACAAGAAGAGAAAAATCAGGTGTCATGGCTGGCACTGGTGAAGACCCGGGCGCTGGTGGTGAAGCTGGCGGCGTGCGGCTGGTGCTGGGCAGCGGCTGCTTTTATATACTACGGGCTCACTATCAACTCGGTCGCTCTCTCCGGGGACAAGTACATCAACTTCGCGCTCAACATGGCTATGGAGATCGTCGCGTCACTGCTCATCATGATGGCGCTCGAGCGATTCGGAAGAAAGAAGAGCATACTCGCTTCGTTCCTTGTATGCGGTGTTGCCTGCATTGCGCCATTTTTTATATGTGAGTATTCTAGAAATACAGGTTATCTGTATACTTTATTATATTATCTGTATAGTTCTCAATATATTTAGGGGGCAATAGTTTAATATCTGGTACGTACTTAATTTATTGAATTCAAATTTATTGACTTCACAGCGCACGTGGGCACGGGTCTGGGGCTGTACTTCGCGGGCAAGCTGGGAGCGACGAGTGCGTTCAACTCGCTGTACGTGTTCAGCGCGGAGCTGTTCCCCACGGGCGTGCGGGCGCGCGCGCTGTCCGCCGTCTCGCTGCTGGGCCGCATCGGCTCCGTGCTGGCGCCACAGACACCGCTGCTGGTAACTTATAGCATCTTCCCACATGCTTCTCTGTTTACTACAATACTTACTATGTACGTACTTACGTATATGGGAAATGCCTACGCATACTTTCCTCGGGGAGGCAAGGACATTGAATAAATAACACAAAATGCCAAGTTGTGCTATGATTACGCGCAACAGCAAAAGTAATAAAGTGATCAAAAATTGCACATCGCTCACAGACATCTTTGTGTACTACTCGACATGCACGACGGAACTATGGTACTAACTAAGATGTTTTTAAAGTATGGATACGTCATACTCGCTCTAAAATGGCAATACGAAAGTCAGGTAATTGCCCGACTCGCATTCAGTCGGGCACGCAATCGTGTCGCGGCTATACCTTCGCTACAGCGCGTAAATCTTCTAGTTATTCGTGGTAAAAATGCCTTCCTGTGTTTTTAGGTGGTGCACAAATTAAACGGCTAGAGACAACTGTTAGAGACAAGAAAAACGTCTCATTAATATTTTGAATATCATCTATATTTATATTTTGTTCATAATTGGTTTTATTATTTCAACACTAACCGCTAATGTAAACTTTGACGCTAGCTAGTGTGTTCATTTCCATATCGGTATGTAACGCGCTTGCACCAATGAGCGCTCAGCAGCAATCAATACGCAACTAATGATGTATATTCATCTTTTTCTAACGATAGGTGTGCCGTATCATTTGTCTCTTTTTGTTAGCGCACGGTGTCATAATAAATAACTGTACGTAGATATAGTACTACTTGCGCCACTTTAAAATACAATAATGTTAGTGTGTAACCTGTCTATCTTTTTAATACGTCTTTGGGTACTTATACATAATTGGTCAATATGATTTGAAGTTTATTTCAGATAAGTATGTAACTTTATTTCGTATTTGTCTGAAAACTGTCGTAAATGAAAACACAACTGCGTGATATTTTATAAAGTCCAGTAACCTGCCCGCATACACAGTTTTAGTTCTGAATTGTGATTATAATATAATAATAGTATACATAGAAGTCTTTGTATCTTTCATTTCTTCTGCAGCCTCTAATTCTACTTCAGGATATATGTGAGAAAACGACAACTGACAAGTATATCAAAAGTTTGTTTTACCTATGGAATGTAAAAAGCGTTATCGGTTCTCTACAGTCACTATACGAAACACAGCTGCATAAAGCTGCTGTTTTAGGCCGGTATTCTGTAAGATCGAGGCCCTTCCCTGGTTGAGGTGACCAGTTCGTGATACAACCACAATATAGCTTTGTGCGATTGATCTTGTAGTGACTATAAAATGGATCGATAATTTATCGTACATAACTGCTATAGGTGTTTAAAGTTGTGCGCGTGTGTGTTGAGAGTTTTGTATGTGGTGTGCACAGAGCCGGAGCGTACAGGCGCTGTTGTACGGCGGCTGCGCGCTGTCCGCAGCGCTGGCTCTGCTGCTGCTGCCCGAGACGCGCCGCGAGCCGCTGCCGCACTGACACAAAGCCGCACTGCCGATGATGATTTTTGTACGAGATGTTTAGTATTTTTCTATTTATAAAATAAGCGTAAATAGAATAATAGAATATTTTTTATTTAATATAGATTCACCTCGTTTAGAGCCGGGGTGGCATCAGAGGCAGCTGAACTGAGTTAGTGGCGCAAATATGAGTCTCTGAGCGATAACTACATACTTGAGCCATTTACTTTAGAGACTATCGGTCCGTGGGGTCCACGGCTGGTTGTTGCTGCTAATGATAAGAGGGCTGGTTCTTTTTTCGCTCAAAGGCTAAGTATAGCCATTTAGCGGGGAAACGCACTCAGCGTTCTTGGCATGATACCGCGGGGAGTAGGACTATATGATAATTAAGTTACTAGTTTTAGTTTTTTTTTTTAATATAGTTTTTTAATATTGTGTATAGGTTACAAGAATACTTATTGAAAGTCATTTAAGTTGTACCACTGGTTCGAAAAAAAACTTTCTGTCCTGCGATGGACCAGCAAGAAACCCAGTTGCATTATTTTTTAAAGATTAATTTACGTTATACGTACCTTCACTAGTGAGGTTTGTTATTACTAAGTGCTTTTAAAATGTGAAATAATAATATATATGTACTTAGTAAAAATCGACAACGAATTTGAGAATAAGGACGTATGGAAATTAAACCCTGAAATCAAAACTATTTAGTGATCGGCTGGTATAATAAAATTAATTATGACACCAACATTCACCTATTCAGTTATTATATATTATGTAAAATGTATTTTTTACTTTTTCTAAAAAAAAAAAACAGCAAAAAATAACAATGACCTCATAGTTTCTATTCATTATTAAACACGCTTTTTCAAATAGCAGCTGACTTGGTGTTCATTAACCTCATACGTAAATCCGGGAAACGGTCGTAGCAATTAATTTAATTTAAAAATACGTACGTACGGTCCGTCTATGAACCAAAATCCAAAACTCATACAAATCTGTTGTGCCATTTATCCGCTTAATAAAAATACATACTTCAAAAAATGGATAGTTTATAAATGGAAAATTTTGTGAAAAATATTTTTCAAATTACCGTTACCCTTACCAGACTATCAAAAGTCCACTACTGAACATAGGTCTTCCACATAGATGGCCTATTAAGGGAGATATTTTTCATAGTTGTCATAGTTATGTTTTAGTTGTTATTAGTAAGTTGTCCATATCTTGATTTAGGTTCCCTCTGTCACTATGGGGTAGTGGATATTTTTACACTGCCATTACACGCCATTACACCTACATCTACAATATTTTCGATTATGATAAAGTGCAGATGATTTCGTTCATTAAAAAATAAAAAGTATTTTTTTTTTCATTTCAGCATTCACTAGTGCTGTACAGCTGCATTGCCACACTGGCCGCTGCTGCACCCAATGCCGTCTGATCGCATCCCTTATGTATTTACGCCTTGCAGCAGTTTCTAGACGATGCACGTCTAAATACTACGCTTGCCCTTCGCTTGTATGTGGTATTCACCTTGGGACAATACAACACTTTTGATTCTACCATCCGGTAGTGTGGGTCATGAACGTTTCAACACAATTTTTGAATAAGCTTTCACACCTTAACCATGACTTTAAGGTGCACAATTAAATAAAATATGTATCTTCTTGAACTGTGATAGATTTTATTGTTACTTATAGTTATAAAACTGGACCTAAAATGTAACTCTGCGGTACCCATTAAAATTACAAAATGTTATTAAGGAAATCGTTTGTATAAAAATTAGTTCGTTACTGCTCTAAAAGATTTTTAATATGTGTTAACTGCAATCCTGCGGTCCCGGTTCCTTATGATTCTGTTTTTTTTAAACCTTAGAACATAATAAGTAATACCAGATTGATGGTGCCAGAGATCAAGCTTAGGTGGTTATGCAGTATAAAATGAGGTTAATCGCCTTTTCCTGACCATAAGTTTATGACAATTATTATATATTATATTCTATTTTTTTTTGTAATACGTTATAATTGTTGTTGACTAGTATGTTAAAAACTGGTTTACGTCAATAATACAACGTATATATCCAGGCTGTGAAATTGTGGTAAATAAACACTTTTTATGTACAATGAAGTTTTTTTAATCCATTAAATTATATTGAATAAAACTAATTTAACGGATTTTATCGCGCTTAATTTAACTTAATGTTAATTCCCAAAGTTTCGGGTGCTTTACATCACATAAGTGCTCACGGGAGAGACTAAGGAGTGACGTCCCGATGTCATTGTTTACCGGACTACTTTCAGCTTTTTAATATTAATTTTTGATCCAATCTACGCAAAACGAGCTTCGCTTGCTATCTCGAAATCTTGCAGTGGTGTGCTTTGGGATTAAATTTTATTAATCACAGGATCCTAAGTGGATTTTTTCTATTGAAAATAAGACGTTTCTTAATTTCAATAGCCCGCGAATCAACTTTGGTAGGAATCGGTGTTCTTTTGCAAGGATTTGTGGTCTTTCAAATCTGTTGTAATGGGATTGAACATGGTCACAGACTGCAGACTTTCCGGAGCGTCAAAAATAATTGATCCTATATTTTCCTAATATCGTAGCATTTGAGATGTAACTTTCTTAAAAAAATTATCATTATCATCATTACAGCATACACAAATCCACTGCTGTACATAGGTCACCACTTAGCACTTAGTGTGTAGAAACACCACTTAGCACGGTCTTGAGATACCTACATCCATCGACTTCCTGCACATCTTACCAGGTCATCGCACCATCTGATGGGTGGCCACCCTACATTTTGCTTATCGGAACGAGGTTGCCACTCGAGAAACTTCCTTCCTCATCGGTTGTCTGTTCTTCGAGCTATATGGCCAGACCATTACCACTTCAGCTTACTTAAATTGGAAAAAATAAGATGTCTAAACTCAATTTCGTTGTATTCGATCCTATATCTTCATCTAAGACCGTGCTAACTCAAATGCTAAGCACTCGCCGTAAATTTGACAGTATGCGAGCAACCTGGACCAGTTCGCCGACGGCGCCAATAAAATTATTAATTGCAGTTTTAAGTGCTGATTTACCACGTGCTTGGCGGTGAAGAAACACATCATGGAAAAAGCTGCATGTTTGAAAAATAAAATTTTTCGCGGACATACTAGGTCCGCAAACACGTAATGGAGCAGTGCGGCGTAAACATTGTTTCATAACCATCTCGGAAATGAGAGGAAGCCAGTGGGACATATATAAGCCATTACTTTACTTTTGCTTTAAATATCTTCATCTGCGAATACCGGCTTTTTTACCGTCTGGAAAAAAAGAGTGCAATATATGGTTGCTGCACGTAAAATAGTAGCTTAATGCTGCTGTGTTTCGTATGGTGAGTGTAGAGAACCGGAGGCCCTTTTTACTGGAACAGAGACATTCCATCTTAGTCCTCAGGGGTGACAACACATCTGCATTTTGATTCTTAATCACAAAAATAAAAGTAGTTTTACAAAAATAAGTGATATTCATTCTGTAAGTACTAGGAACAGACACAAGCTAGTAGTACCAGTTACTCGACTCCATCGAGTCAGTAATTCATTCTTTGGGCGATGTATACACTTTTACAACAAAATTCCAGAAAATATACAAAGTTTGACCTGCTCAAAGTTCAAAAACTTTATTAAACTAAGTTTGTATAAAAAGGGTTATTATAATATTAAGGAATTTATGGATGATAATAACCCCTTGAAATGAGGTGATCGCTACCAAGCTATTTCTAATTTGTTGTGTTCTTAATTTGTGTAACACACACATGATTGTAAGCTGTTATTTAAAAAAAAGTCCCGCTGGGTTTCTTGCTGGTTCTTCCCAGGACAGAGGTTTTTCCGAACCAGTGGTAATTATACAAAAGAGTGACTTTCAATAAGGTATTATTTATAATCTATATTGAATAAAAAAGTTTCTGTTTCTGTTTCTGTTTCAATCGAGGATAGATGAAGATGTCTATGGGCTACAGCAGGTATGGGCAACCTTTGACAAGTTGAGGGCGGCCAAACTTTAGCGTGCAAATACGTTCGCGGGCCGCGTTTAAAAGTACTTAGTGCATTTTAAAGTAGTGATAATATTTTTTACGTACTACCTCTTCCTTGATAAATTCTCCTTCGGCAAATGGTTTTAATGACTTTTCCATTTTTGAGCTAAGTATAAAACTAGCTTTCACAACATTATTAAGTTGTGTTCTTTGTTTATGAAACATTTGTTGCTGTTTTTCCAAATTTACGGTAAGCTTCTGGATTTTTTCTGTTCTTAATTGTTCTGTCAGTGAGTGCAGCGTAGCATGCTTAGTTGAGTAATGCCTCTTTATATTGAATTCTTTCATTACTGAAATGGATTCATTACACAGCAAATAAATAGGCTTACCATTGTGCAAGATAAAAAATAATTTTTCAGTCCATTTTTCTTGAAACAGACGACCCTCTGTATCTACTTTTCGTTTCTTTCCACCAGATATCATTTTTGTTTACTTTTCATTCAATAAACTTAATAACAAACTATAGTTAGTAACCACTCAAGATGCACACAAAGTCACAACGCAAGTTCGCTAGGATATCGCTTGTCCAAGTTATCACCTCGGTAGCACAAATAGAATTGAACTAACGTTCGGGCCATCCACCTGCTTATATAGGCAAAATGGAGGAATAATCTGGAATAAACTAGTTTAGAATAATTGAGAAGCAATAAATCTTTTGATGTGTCGCTCGTGAGGCGGCAAACCTCAAAAAATTTGATCGAGTAAGCCGCGTGGCGGCGACCCCCGTGAGTATAAATACCTAATGTAATATATTTTAACTGGGTTTTTTCAAAATGTCTCGCGGGCCGGATCATATCTTACAGCGGGCCGGTTGTTGCCCATATATGGACTACAGTATCCTCGTACCATCAGGTGGACTGTGTGCTCGTTTATTATCACTATTCTATAAAAATAAATAAAAAAATACGTGAACGAAGTAGTGACTTGAATAGACCTTATACTTATAGTATGTACACATGCATCAAATTAAATAAAGGTGTTATTAAAAAAAAAGATATTTAGAAAGAAATTCGAAATCCAATTCATGTGTATTGTGTACCCTATTACACGCGTGGCAAATTGTCAAGGAATTCGTGATGGCCTTGACTTTAATGATAGTCACTAGATAAAAGTTTACTTCAAGTTAATAGTACCTACCTACATAATGCGCATTTATTTTATTGATAGATAAATTTCATACTATGGCAATTAAAAAACATCTATACCATAGAGGCTTCTACTGTATTCACGTATTGCACCTATTTATTACAGCTCGAGACAAAATGGTAAAACATTATAAGTAGAGCAACTGGATTTATTGTAACTCTTTAATTTTAGACCCAAGGCATAAGACTTCGACTTTTAACATGACATTATGGGGGAAGCAAACTAAAGCAGAAATCCTGCTTAATTTAGTGAACTTTATAAAGAATATTAAAGTCCCCACTCAAATAAATCTCTAGAATCACCAAGAATTGAAATGATGTGACTGAGACTTTGAGAAACTGTACGTATTTCCCTCGACGTCATCTGGGTCTGGATCTTGTCTTCAGGGCTTAGTTATTGACGAGTTGGAGGAGTACCTAAGTAAATCCAGAGCCGCCAGCTCGGAAGACATTTTACAGTGGTGGAGGACGCATGAGACAGAATATCCGACTTTATCGAAGATGGCCCGTGATTTTCTTTCAATACCTGCAACTTCAGTACCTGCTGAGATAATATTTTCTAAAGCATCATTAGTAATTAGAAAACATAGAAATGAGTCAGTCAGATGGTTTCTTTGTATTAATTCTTGGTCAAAAGAATTAATATAAAGTCACCCAACTGCACTGACAGACAGAAATTAATTTTGAATTTTTTCGAGAAATACTAAATCTTGGGACTCCTTTCCTGTCTAGAATAGGGGACATCTAGCAGCAGCGCATCCAGTTTTATGCTGCGGGTCTTGTGATTTCATTCATTTATTACAACCTATCGAAGTCTACTGCTGACCATCTCTCCCCGCAGATTCTTTTGGACTTATTAAGGTCATTATACGGGTATATTGGCAGCGAGATTAGCGAGTTACGAATCGCAGTTTTGTTTTTATAAACTAAAAATAATTAAAACAATGTACAATTTAAAATATTTATTACATTTTATATCTATAAACATATATAGTAACAAAAAATATATTTTTTTTAATATCCAAAACCCTGTAATTAAGGCACTTGCTTATTTATAATTAACGTAATTGATAAGTGTAAAACTAAACGTATTTCGATAAGACACACACACGTAGTTAACCTTGTACAACCTACAAGTGGAATATTTTGCTCTACCAAATATTTATTTGAGTTTTTCTTTATCAATTACTAGTACACAACACACAACAACCAATAAATAGTAGTGCATTCCGATACTATAGTATGGGATTTCAAAATTTTATATTAAATATTACATACGAGTCTTAGAAATCTATGCCAATGAGGGCAAATAACATTCCGCTCACCAGAGGTCGCTAGTTGACACTGAGATGAAGTTTTTTGTTACACAATGTTATTTAATTGAGAAGTTTCTCAATGGCTCAGTTTGCTCTTCAATTTTTTGTACATTTTTAACTGTTTTTATATTATCTACATTTATATGAATATCTGTGGTTTGGTTTATTTATTTTTAATCTAATTCATATAAAATATGATCAATAGTACAGAAAGAAACGTTAACCTTTAAATTTTTCGATCAAACTAACTTCCCTGCTGTGAAATCTGTCAGATATTATACCTCAGTTTTAGTGGAGTCGTGGATACCCTCATTGCTATAGGAGTTATTTAGTGCTTAGGAATTTGTGTCATTTCAATTTCATCATTTCAGCGTCTCTCGCCGCTGGTGACAAGATGGCTGGTTCTTTTCTTGTCTACAGACTAAGTAACCAATTATAGCCGTTTAGCGAGGAAACAAAGCCAGCTTTCTATGCTAAGAAGACATATATGATAATATTAGCTCGTAGCTTATTATTGTTATTTCAATATAAATATTACGTTGTGTAAATGTGCACATAAAATATTTCGAATATAAATTCTATTTCTCCTCATCGGAAGATGATGTTATGATAAAAATTGAATTTGGGAATATTAGTCTATTAGACAATAAGTAGTTCTCAAGGGAAACTGAATACAACTACTTTAATGTATAAAAGCGTTTAAAAATATTATATAGTCAAAAACATGGCGCACTATATGTATTAACAATCAGTCTTAATTTTTTTAACCATACCTATCACATTAGTCTTTGAGCGTTGCCAACGCTTCGCTACCAAATAACGAATATTAATAATTATTTATACTCTACTGTAGTAAATTAATTTTAATTGGTAACATTAGACAAGCCTTGCTCCCTTTATAATTATCGTCTAAACTGATTTATTTTGTAAAATAATGATGACAAATCAGCACACAGTCCACCTGATGGTAAGTGAATGCTGTAGTCCATAGGCACCTACATTTATCCTCCAGTTAGACTCAAAATTGCGTTGTCGCTCTTGAGGACTAAGATAGAATACTATAATAAATACTTATTACCAGTGAAAATAAGATGTGACAGGAAACAAAGCAGCACTATACTGCCGTTTCGTGCCGCTATGATGTGCGAGCGCGGCTCTTCCCTGGTCGAGCCGACCCATTAGTACTAAAGTAGCTTTATCAAGTACAAAAGTCTAGGAGTGACAACATCCACTGACCCTCATGTGGACTGCTTGCCTTTTTGTCACACTTCTTTAAAAGAAGGGTTTCTTAAGATACTCTTTATATTCACAGAACATCCTTACATTAATTTACTATTTACTTGTTATATTGTATAGTTAATTTAGTAAAATAACACAAAGTTGATGATGATGAATATGCTAGACTAAATCATCTACAGAATAACTAGAAGTAACGTTTAGGTTTCTGTCTTTGCTATAGATCTAGCCTTGCTATAGATCTATAAATACTTTAGCGATAGCATTCTTAAATTAATCGTTTTTTGTTATCTTAAAATCATTTATAAAGGTCTCATGTGTGAAATTACTGCAGACTTAGCCAAATTAACTTTTGTAAATCGTAAACACTAATAGAAAACCATAAAAATGAATAGAAATAACATATTATTATCTTAACGTTAAGTTACGTAATCACGTGATTTTAGAAAGTTAACTAGGTTAAGTGTACTCATATGCAACTATTTTTGTAGTAGGTACATCGTAAAGTATAATTTTGTTTAATTGGGTCGTAATGATTGAGTTATATGTACTACGTACTAGAGAAGCCATTCCAAACAAAAATTGTGCACTACTCTATGTATTCGCGCATGCGCATTTTATTTGATATAAAATAAGATATTAATATAAAATAAATGTAAGTATTTAATATAAAATATCTTAATTTAATCTAAACAAACATATTTCTAAATAAAATGTAAAAATTATTATTTAAGGGAATTCACAAATCTTCAATTTACGCACTATTTAGTTTGTATGGATTGCACTACAGTTCAGTTGAACATAGTCAATGTTCGGAATGGCTTCTCTAGTACGTAGTACATATAACTCAATGGTCGTAATTAATACAATAAGTAAATATTTTAGTTGATGATTCGTAAAAAATGTTATATTACACATGTTATATTACAACAGCTGGTACATGTGTAATGAAACCAATTTTACGGATGTTATCGCGTTTAATTAAAATTTTTGTTTTCTTTTTTAAGTAATGTAAAGGGAATTAAGAAAGTTAAAATTCAACGCTGTAAAATCCGTAAATACATTTTTATTACATGTATTCACGTAAATTTAAAAAAATCACCATGGCACCTACTGTGCTTTAAAATAAAATTTCTATTTTCCCATTCATCGATCTTCTATTGATCGACCAATGGGAAAATAGAAAGTTTATTATATAAACACCAACTGATATTGGTGGTAAACAGGTGACTGATAACTACCGGCTTTATAATTGTCGACAGATATCTAGCAACTTTTTGAATGAACATGACAAATGTTGTATATACGCTTACATGAAGCAACACTAGCCGTCGACGTACCGGACCTATGTATGCTTATAACGAATTACATAATATAAATTACAAATTAAAAAAATATCTAAGTATTAATTTAAAATTCTGGCACAAAATAAACTACAACAAAAAAATATTAAAATATGTTTATATATAACATGAAAAATAAACCCTGTGGTTCCCTTTAAGTGCGTTATTAGAATCAGTATTCAAATGTAAATTAATAATAACTTTATTTCAGAAAACTCAACCATAAAAAAAATCATTTAAATGGAAATACATTTTTATTTGCAAATTGTATGTAGTTTTATTTCCTCTAACTGACACGCGCATCGGTGACATAACTCTTACTGTTACTAATGACCGGGCCAATGCAGTTGAGTTAATAAAACCGGATAAAATTATATAATATCACTTATAACTTCACTAAAGAGCGTATTTAGTTGTGGAGCAACGTAACACAATGCGTTTAGAATGCACTCATATTATGACGATTATTATCGGACCGCATTGCGATTATCTAACTCTGGTTACATAAGTAGTATTATTATTTATTCTGTGCTCTGGTAGAAATCGTTTTTCGGTGGGAATCACTCCGCAACTGTGTTATTTTTTTTAAATCGATGATCTAGAAGACAAACGTTTTTATTACAGAGATTGTGATTTTTCAGAATTAATTTTAAAGTTTCGCTTGTTAGTATATATATAGGTGAGCAGTGTCGTTACACTATTTGATACTTCTATTATTATGCAACTATGTGTAATACTATTAATTTTAAAGTAATGTGTGCAATTATAAAAATTACTTAGAAATACAATAGGAACAAACACTGTTACATGTCACCGACGATTATTCATAGATCTTGCAGAGACGAAATATTTTATTTTCATCAGTAATTACTGATCTTTTACAAAACCACACCGAATAAATTATAAGCACGAATATGTTATAATTATTGCATGCAGATCGTTTCATGTACAAATATTATAATATACAAATATTTACATTTTCACAGTAATAATGTACCAATTTAAGTCATAAACAGTAACTGTAGAGACTTAAAATATTTTAGAGAAAACGAGAATCATCAAAATCGGTTCACCCAGTAAAAAGTTATGAGGTAACACACATAAAAAAATATACAGTTAAATTGAGCTCCTTTTTGGAAGTCGGCAGAAAATTAACAGATAAAAAATCCTTATTGATTCAGCTATTGGGATTTTTCTATCAAGAAATTCTCAATAGTATTTCTGTCTGTTCAAGTCAGAAATTTGTCGGTATTTCACCCGCATGTCGAAACACGCAAAAGTTGGTACCGCATTTGATATCTCTGGTAGTATCGTAACGGTGTCTGTAACTATGAGAGTGTACCTGCGGTTGTGTCCACATTCGTTTCGACTAAGACTGGCCGCTGCGATCGAAATACAGTGTGGAGGACGTTAACATATGTGATCCGGGTCACGGTCAACTGGCGGCTGCAGTTTGTGATGTGGCGTGGGAAGGCACGCGCTGCACTCACGTGTCGTCCATGTCGCGGCGTGCTAGCGGCTGCAGCTCGCAGGGCGCGGGCGGCGGGGGCGCGGCTGGCTCGGGCAGCTGCAGGCGCGGGTAGACGGCGCGCAGCGCGAGCAGCGCGGCGAGCGTGAGCGCGGCGGTGACGGCGAAGGCGGCGGGCGGGCCGCGCCGCGCGTACACGCCCGCCACCAGCAGCGGGCCCAGCGCGCGCGCCGCGCACCCCGCGCCCGCCAGCACGCCCTGCCACACGCCCTGCGCACCACACACAGCGCAACCTAACGTGCTGCAGCCGAGCTGCTTCTACCACGAATGGCTCGGTTCCATCGGGAAAGGACCACGCCAAGTAAGGAATGCCAGCATAAAATAGCAACTTAATTCTGCCGTGTTTCGTACGACAAGTGTAGAGAACCGGAAACCGATCTTAAATTTTTTTCGTTCACCCGATTAACTAAGCTCTGGCTTGATTTTTGCGCAGCTTGGACACAGCTTGTATGCAATGCTCCATTTCCTTTCTTTTGTGGTCTGAACCATATGATAAATACAGTGGTGGATTCTCTTACGCTGCCATTACACATGGGAACACGCTCAACTCCCGCAAGCGTATCAACAAACCAACCTTTTTTAATACTAGAAGAACAAACAAGCTAATGGACCACCTGATGGTAAAAGGCTACTGCAGCCCACTAACACATGTAAAATTTTCTAACAAGAAGGTCACAGACGCGTTGTCACCTCTAAGAGCTAGAATGGAATCCCACTAATTATACTGACTACTTAATGATTCAATCCAAAACACAAAAGCAAAGAGATGTCACCCATCCTCTATTAGCAAGTTAATTTTATCTTAGCATATTATCCTGGGTCTCTTATGGTTCAATCCGAAGCATAACAGCAAACAGCTGATCATCCATCGTCTATTAGATTATAAATTTTATGTATAATTAGAGAACGCCGTAATAGAACACCAAAAGCCTCAATATTTTTGGAGGGAACTTATCCCCAGCATTTAAATTAAACTAATTTTTAATTTTTTACGGATTTTATTGCGTATATTATCTCTTTTTATATTCCCAACGCTACACTAAAAATAGCCATGGTTAATTATGACATTGGGACATCGAACACCTCAGTCCTCCCCGTGACCATGAATGCTGTCAAGAACTCTAAACGTCGGTAATATAAAATACGCTAATATACGCGATAAAATCCGTGAAATCTGGTTTTATTTAAATATGTAGTGTTCGTGTAAACATAAGAAATAGTTATAGTCCCCAGTAGTTTATTGTTTTGCGTATTGCATATAGAAAAGGTAGCGCGGCGAGTACCTGCGGCCTGGGACCCAGCACCTTGGAGAAGATAGTCTGTATAAGCGTGACGCCGAGCGGGTAGCCCACCGACACGCAGGCGTACGCCAGTAGGAACTGCACCAACGAGAGCGCGCGCGACTCGGCACACCACGGCTGCGTCTCCTGCGCACCAAGCACATAGAGAGAATGAAGGAAAGAACGAAAGAAACATCTTAATTTGAAGCTACATTATAAATAATTGCACCACATTAATATCGCGACTCGGCACACCACGGCTGCGTCTCCTGCGCACCAAGCACATAGAGAGAATGAAGGAAAGAACGAAAGAAACATCTTAATTTGAAGCTACATTATAAATAATTGCACCACATTAATATACTATATTACGACAACATTAATGCAGCAACAAATAGGCATCCGACTGAGCATTGTGCCGCGGTGTACTAACCACAGCGCTGATATTATTTCACATCTTTGAAAAATTAGTGAATCCTACTTATATCGTAAGTGTGGAAACAAAGGCTTGCATGTATACTACTAGAGGGTAGACGGGCAGTACGGTACTAATACAATGCACACTAAGTTATGGTTAATACTCCGTAACTTCTTTAGTCGACTGCTAGCGGCCAAGAAAAATAATTCTTTGTATTGTAAACCGTGAATATTGTTTTCGACAATCTAACACTAAGTCATTATTTATGTGCGCACTTTTTCAACGTGAAGTTAAGTATGTCGTATTTGCTTAAAAACAGTAACTGTCGTAAATAAGAATTTAACCATACAACTACGTGGCATATTTCATCGTTCTAGCAGTATACAAAGAAGTTATTTGTGAACACTTCGGATGTTCGTCCTTGAATCAAGATCTAATTTTAACAGTGGTAGAGCCACGCGGCAGCTTTTGCTGTCGCACGGATGGGCCGGCTCGAACCGGGGTGGTACCACGACCTCACAGAAAACCAGCGTGAAGTAGAGGTTTACCTCTGCGTTTCGCTCGGTGTGTGCAGGTGGCTGGAGGCCCTTTTTACTGGAAATGAGGCATTCCATCTTAGTCCTCACGGGAGACAACGCATCTACATTTTGATTTGTAATAGAGGATAGATGTAGATGTCTATGGGCCGCAGCAACCACTTACCATCAGGTGGACTGTGTGCTCGTTTGTCACCCTTATTCTATAAAAAAAAATCTTCACGACTAAAACTCCATTGACCCGTGGTGTTCCAGTTTCACTGTATATTGGCAGAGCCACGGGAACATTGTACTCATATCCGCGGTCCCAACAGTGCCGGCAACCCTATGTCAGCCTCTCTTCGGAGGAAGACTTCTCCTCTCCATTTTCCCTGTCTGGTAAAGTAAGGTAGGTGATATGTGAACCTGTGGGCATCCACCGAGCGCCTCGTGCTGGCCGGGCATAGCGAGAGGTGGCGGGCCGGGCCCCCAGGGGATGCAGAGCAGCGACGCCGCAGCCGTCGGCAGGAACCCGCCCCACACCAGCAGTGCCCTGCAACACAACGATACTGACCACCGCACCCAAACACACCTACATCTATCCTCGAGATCAAAACCACATTCAGAGGCTCCTACTCCTGAGTACAAAAACTTTTGTAACCTGGAGTGGGAGCATCTGCGTAGATGACTAGTGTCCGTTGAGAGTGGCCGCTAGGACCAACATTTTGGTGAGGAGGACATTATTATTACAAACATGGAACCAGCACCAAATGTAGGTACATAGTTCTCGTCACATACGAAAAAGCAAAATGCTGCTATTCTGCGCTGGTATTCCGTGCGTATAACTGTGTAGTGACGGAGTAATAATATTCCATACCGCATTTTATGATATTACTGAGGAAATCTGAACCAAGAGATAGACAGCAATATCTTCCTGATAAATGCTGAATAAAAATAAAAAACTGCGAATGCCATCTCGCTTGCCAAGCGTTGGAATTATGGCAAATATTACCTATGAGGCAATCTATGGGGGAGGGCCATGTTCAGCTGCAGACGTTAGACAGTCTGTAATGATATTGGTAATTCTGTGCGTGCGTAGTCGACCCAACGTATTTACGATTCAGCCATAATATACGTGGTAGTGCCATGCTGCAGCTATATTAGTAGTATGGTTGTAGCACGAATGGGTCGGCTCGAGCGGGGAAGGACCACGCTCTCACAGAATACCAGCGTTCAATAGTAGCTTAACACTGTTGTGTTTCGTATGGGGGGTGTAGAGAACCGGAGACCCTTTTTACTGGAAAAGGGGCATTCCATCTTAGTCCTCACGGGTGACAACGCATTCTGCATTATGATTCGCAAACGAGGATAAGTTGTAGCTTGGTTCTACTGGCTCTACCATGTATTTTACGAGCGGACGTAATTAATTTCCTTGAATATATCACTACGGCTGTATCCTACATGTAAAGCATATGTCACAACTTCATCTTCAAATATCAAGCTTTACCACACACTAGTCAGACCGCTTAAATGCTTGATTGATCAAAACCTCCATTGGTCAAGCAAGTGATCTCTCAAATTAGTATCTCGTCAAATCCTTGGCTCGTCAGATTAGCTATTGGTCAAGCACGGATGCCAAACTGCACCGTCCCACAGACTAATAATTATTATTGTAAGCAGCATGTTCAGTGGGAGGGTACCGGCTCCACGCTTGCCCAGGTTGAACTCACGTAGTGGATTAAGAAAGGCTACAGAAGAAGCCTCGGATAATTTTGCGCGGGTAGCAAAATCCGTCAATACGAATCACTTAGAATAGCACGGCGGACTACTTTCTCCATATTCCTTTCAGAAATGAGAGGAGACAAATACCCAGCTGCACGGATTTATCCCCCGACTATATCCACTGACAAGAGATAAAATTATCTTGTCCCTAAGCCAAAGCACGGCAACGGGGAGAAGTATATCCCCGTTTGACATATCGAGTAGACAATATATCCCCCGTCCGTAGCATGGGGCCAAATAAAACATAAAAAATTATGCTTTTTTTTACATTTGAAAGGGACAATTGTATCTGAACCAAAACAGTTTCACTGTAAAGCATCGCGCCAGGTACACTTTCAACTATAATTACAAAAATAATAATTACATTTTTACAAAAAATTATAAAATAAAAAGGAACCAAGTACATACTAATAAGAGACACTATAGTGTTTCCGGATATCTTCGAAATGATTATTTATTCGATATATATATATATATATATATATATATATATATATATATATATATATATATATATATGTGATCGCGAGGGTGAAAACTGGTAGCGATCACCGAATGGTTAGAGGCACACTGAACCTAAACGTTAAGTTGGAGAGGTCTCGTCTAATGAAGTCAACGCTCCGTCCCCCTCGTGCTCTGTTCCAAAGTCCCGAAACCTTTCAGCTCGAGTTACAAAACCGTTTTCAGTGCCTAGAAGACTGCAATGAAGTGGACGATATGAATGACAAGCTCGTGGAAACTGTCCATGCGGTTGGAGCTAAGTTCTGCAAGACCCGCCGCAGAAGAACACAAAAACTCTCCGATCACACTCTTAATCTCATGGCTGTTAGACGGGAGATGAAGCTACATTCTTCAACAGACTTGACAGCATACAGGCATCTGAACAGACAGATCTCCAAATGCATGCGGCGGGACTTACGCAACTTCAATACAGCTCGTATTGAAGAAGCGATCGAGCGGAACCAAGGCTCCAAAGTCTTTGCCAGAGATCTGTCTGCCAGAAAGAGCCAACTGTCAAAGCTGAAGACAGAATGTGGCAGCATCGTTTCCGGGACACCTGAGATTTTGAGTGAGATTGAGAGGTTCTATGGGCAGCTGTACACATCATCGTTGGAGCCACACGCAAGTGTGAGTAACGATCCAAGAGCGAGTCTCATCCGACAAGGCCCCAGGCGAGGATGGAATTACAGCGGAGCTTCTGAAAGCGGGTGGAAGACCGGTACTTGAAGTCCTTCAGAAGCTCTTTAATTCCGTCCTCCATGGTGGCATTACACCGGAGGCGTGGAGCAGAAGTGCGGTGGTCTTGTTCTTCAAGAAAGGGGACAACGCTCTCTTGAAGAACTACAGACCGATTTCCCTTCTGAGCCGCGTCTACGTGCTGTTTTCGAGAGTCATTACGAATCGTCTCGCGCGCAGACTTGACGACTTCCAGCCTCCCGAACAAGCCGGTTTCCGAAAGGGCTTTAGCACCATAGACCACATACATACCCTTCGGCAAATTGTACAGAAGTCCGAAGAGTACAATTTGCCACTATGTCTGGCGTATGTGGACTATGAGAAAGCCTTTGATTCCGTCGAAATTTGGGCGGTGCTGCAGTCCCTTCAGCGGTGCCAAGTTGACTGTCGGTATATCGAAGTGTTGAAGTGCTTGTACAGTAGGGCTACGATGGCTATCCGAGTACAGAACCAGAGTACGAAACCTATCCAATTGCAGAGAGGTGTAAGACAGGGTGACGTCATATCCCCGAAACTCTTCACCGCTGCATTGGAAGACGTTTTCAAGCTTCTGGACTGGAAAGGATACGGTATCAACATCAATGGCGAGTACATCACTCACCTTCGATTTGCCGACGATATAGTCCTTATGGCAGAATCGCTGGAGGACCTAAGCACTATGCTCAATGACCTCAATAGTGTTTCCCAACGGATAGGTCTTAAGATGAACATGGACAAAACTAAGATCATGTTTAATGTCCATGTCACACCTATGCCGGTAGTTGTTGGGAACACTAAGCTCGAAGTTGTTGACGAGTATGTTTACCTGGGACAAATAGTCCGACTGGGTAAGTCCAACTTCGACCGAGAGGTCAATCGACGGATTCAACTCGGCTGGGCAGCGTTCGGGAAGCTACGACACATCTTCTCGTCAGACATACCTCAAAACCTTAAAACGAAATTGTACAACCAGTGCGTGTTGCCAGTGATGACTTACGGAACTGAGACGTGGTCCTTCACTGCTGGCCGTATGAGGAAGCTCAAGGTCGCTCAGCGAGCTATGGAGAGGGCTATGCTCGGAGTTTCTCTGCGTGATAAACTTAGGAATGAGGATATCCGCAGTAGAACCAGAGTGACCGACATAGCCCAACGGATTAGTAAGCTGAAGTGGCAGTGGGCCGGCCATATAGCTCGAAGAACCGACAACCGATGGGGAAGAAAGGTTCTCGAGTGGCAGCCTCGTACCGGTAGGCGAAGTGTAGGGCGTCCCCCCACGAGATGGAGTGACGACCTGGTAAGACATGCAGGAAGTCGATGGATGCAGGTGGCTCAGGACCGTGTTTTGTGGCATTCTTTGGGGGAGGCCTATGTTCAGCAGTGGACTTGTGAAGGGCTGTAATGATGATGATGATGATATATATATATATATATATATATATTTAAATGGTGATAAAAATATCGATATATTATTCATATACTTTGATGTTTTTAGAATAGAATAGAATAATTTTTTATTCAATATACATAACATGAGTAATTCTTATTGAAAGTCATTTTTACTTTACCACTGGTTCGAAAAAAAACCTCTGTCCTGGGAAGCACCAACAAGAAAAAAGTCCCGCTGGGTTACTTTTTTTCAAAATAAATTTTACAATACAAAATGATTACAAACTATTTACAAAATTTATTTTTGAAACTGCTTGGAAGCGACCACCTCATTCCTAGGGGTTATTATCAACCATGTATTCATTTATACTATAATAACCCTTTTTTTTAAATCGATGTTTCACTTTCTAAAATATCGAGGTTCGCTTTTTTGATGAGCGATGTTGCATCCCTACCGCCATACCAATATTCTCAAGATAAGGTATCTATCTGCTTAGACGCCTTGAGATAATATTGCCAACTATCTGCTGGCTCAAGTTGCCATCGAAATCGCCAGAGGGCTGCGCAATGTGACGCATAAACATATTGTAAAGCAGTGTATTATAAAGGATTATAATCATTTTATGCTGGGATAAATAAAAAAAAGGCTTAAAAGACAAGCATTCAAGTCAACGGTCTTTAAAAAAATAAAAAATTCCACCGATATTAATAAAATCTTTTGTGGAATTGGAAAAGTGCGCAAGCAAAAATTTGAGATATTGAAAAGTATGAAATAATTGATAGATAGAAATAAATTTTAGTGTTATATGGAAACAATTGATAAACAAAATGATAAATGACTGTATAAAGTGTTATCGTTTCGTTACTAATTAAATATATGAAGTTAAAAATTTGGTGAGGTCATGTTGACATTTGATTCGAGAATATATACAATGTAGTCTCACGCCTACACGTTTACATACATATACATATGTTGAACGTGTAATTGGCGTGAGACTCTACAGTGTCTCCGGATGATTACAAACTATTTACAAAATTTATTTTAGAAACTGCTTGGAAGCGACCATCTCATTCCCAGGGTTTATTATCAACCATGTATTCATTTATACTATAATAACCCTTTTTTTAAATCGATGTTTCACTTTCGAAAATATCGAGGTTCTAATATCA